GACCTGTCCAAGTTGCTGGTGCGGCTGTGCCGGCACCACGTTCACCCAGTGGGCCGTAAATGACATGTACTGTCCCTGACCGTAGTTACAGCTCCACACGTCGGCGCTGCCGTGCACTTTGGCAGAGACCGACATGCTCAAAGACTGGCCCACCATCTCTTCTACATGTGAATGCAGGGCTGGCACTGCCTTTTTGGCGAAGAAATGCCGGCTTGGCACTCTCCACCGCGGCTCGGCACAAGCCATCATTTCTCGGAAAGGTGCTGAGTCCACCACTTGGAAAGGGAGGGACTGCAGCACCAGCAACTTGGACAGGAGGACGTTCAGCTTCTGCACCGTCGGGTGCGTGCTCGCAAACTGTTGTCTCTTGGAAACGGATTCCAAGAAAGACTGCTGACGGAATCCGTGAAGAGGAGTAGCAGGAGAAGGAGCATCTGAACGAGCGGAAGATGCCAACGAGCGACAACTCCCCCCCTCAGCAGAGGTGTTGGAGCCTTGACTGGCTGATAGAGGGCGATTGACGTCGGGTGACGGAGCAAGTAACGGAGCGGGTGATGGAGCGGGGGCTGGGGCAGGCAGAACCGCCGTATCTTTATCACGGTTTTCCCAGGCCACCGAATGCGGCGACGCTGCATATGCTGACGCAACGCTGTAGTCCCAACATTGGCCCCCTGGCCACGCTTGACTTTCTGGCCACATAGTCGACATACGGCTACGTTTACTTCCTCGGGCGGCTTGACGAAAAATTGCCACACCGCCGAGTAGGAAACTTTGCCCCCGCTACTCCTCACTGGCTGACTGCTACTTCCTCCGTGCACACCGGCACCACTACTGGCCGTGGTGGTAGGCTGCAGTGGAGCTGGTGCTCTACTCCGTGGCCGTTTGGCTCCACTGACACTGCTGCGACCCTGCTGCCTCCTGGGCAACCCACCGACTGTTTTGCTCGCTGGCAAGCTGGCACCCTCTCTTCTCCTGATGATGCGGAAGCAATAGCCTGATGACGACGAGGCTGCCAAGTGCGATCAGCCTCATCATCATCAATTAGGGTCTCCGCGTCACTACTAGCCCCCTCGGCTGCGTGTGGGTCAGGAGACAGACCTGTCTCTAGACCGGCTACCGAGCCACTCTCCTCGCCAGTACTTCTTCGCCTGGCTGCTGAAGAGGCGGATGTCTCCCCCCGTTCCTGACCGCCCTCTGTTAGCTCTTCCTCACTGTACAGTGGGGCTGAGCCCACAGCATGCGATACTTCGCTTGGTGAGGGAACACCAAAGGACAGGGGCAGGTCGAGGACACGTGATTTCAGTGGGCTTGCTCCCGGGCCATGCCAACTAACGGTTGTGTCTGACGTACCCACCGACCGTTGGCTGTAGGTGTCAGAGGTGACCTGGGAAGAGGAAGACGACCGAGTCAACCAATCGATGACGGCAGGGTTGTCGGTGGAGACACGACCGCTGGATGACACCGGGAGCACTGGCCTCTGGCTGCGACTAGTGCTGCCTCGACCCTTTCCTCTGCTGCCACGTCTGCTCGCTCCTGAAACATTGCCTCCTCTGCCACTCCTCTGCGTGTTGTCTGACATACTCTTTAATTCAATAAGCACCCCAAAAATAAAACCGGATTTAACTCTTTGAACGTACAATAGTGGTTGTGAAGCAGAAAGTCAGTTTATTTAGCACAATCGGTCAATTGCAGCTTGCCGTTGGCTGGAAACTGTACGTTTATGTCACTGGAATGCACTAATCACCCAAAAAATATTACCGCCACCCGGCGTGTATATGGATTTAACTCTTTGAACGTACAATAGTGGTTGTGAAGCAGAAAGTCAGTTTATTTAGCACAATCGGTCAATTGCAGCTTGCCGTTGGCTGGAAACTGTACGTTTATGTCACTGGAATGCACTAAATCACCCAAAAAATATTACCGCCACCGGCGTGTAAATGGATCTAACTCTTTGAACGTACAATAGTGGTTGTGAAGCAGAAAGTCAGTTTATTTAGCACAATCGGTCAATTGCAGCTTGCCGTTGGCTGGAAACTGTACGTTTTTATGTCACTGGAATGCACTAATCACCCAAAAAATATTACCCGCCACCCGGCGTGTAAATGGATCTAACTCTTTGAACGTACAATAGTGGTTGTGAAGCAGAAAGTCAGTTTATTTAGCACAATCGGTCAATTGCAGCTTGCCGTTGGCTGAAACTGTACGTTTATGTCACTGGAATGCACTAATCACTCAAAAAATATTACCGCCAGCCGGCGTGTAAATGGATCTAACTCTTTGAACGTACAATAGTGGTTGTGAAGCAGAAAGTCAGTTTATTTAGCACAATCGGTCAATTGCAGCTTGCCGTTGGCTGGAAACTGTACGTTTATGTCACTGGAATGCACTAATCACCCAAAAAATATTACCGCCCCCCGGCGTGTAAATGGATCTAACTCTTTGAACGTACAATAGTGGTTGTGAAGCAGAAAGTCAGTTTATTTAGCACAATCGGTCAATTGCAGCTTGCCGTTGGCTGGAAACTGTACGTTTATGTCACTGGAATGCACTAATCACCCAAAAAATATTACCGCCCCCGGCGTGTAAATGGATTTAACTCTTTGAACGTACAATAGTGGTTGTGAAGCAGAAAGTCAGTTTATTTAGCACAATCGGTCAATTGCAGCTTGCCGTTGGCTGGAAACTGTACGTTTATGTCACTGGAATGCACTAATCACCCAAAAAATATTACCGCCACCCGGCGTGTAAATGGATTCTAACTCTTTGAACGTACAATAGTGGTTGTGAAGCAGAAAGTCAGTTTATTTAGCACAATCGGTCAATTGCAGCTTGCCGTTGGCTGGAAACTGTACGTTTATGTCACTGGAATGCACTAATCACCCAAAAAATATTACCGCCACCCGGCGTGTAAATGGATCTAACTCTTTGAACGTACAATAGTGGTTGTGAAGCAGAAAGTCAGTTTATTTAGCACAATCGGTCAATTGCAGCTTGCCGTTGGCTGGAAACTGTACGTTTATGTCACTGGAATGCACTAATCACCCAAAAAATATTACCGCCACCCGGCGTGTAAATGGATTTAACTCTTTGAACGTACAATAGTGGTTGTGAAGCAGAAAGTCAGTTTATTTAGCACAATCGGTCAATTGCAGCTTGCCGTTGGCTGGAAACTGTACGTTTTGTCAATGTCACTGGAATGTGCACTCCATCTTCACCCTGAAAAAATCTTTTATTAGGTCCTGAGGTCCATCCCCCGGCGTGTAAATGGCTGACGTACGTAATAGTGGTTGTGAAGCAGAAAGTCAGTTTATTTAGCACAATCGCTCAATTGCAGCTTGCCGTTGGCTGGAAACTGTACGTTTATGTCACTGGAATGCACTAATCAGCCCTGTGTATACGCTCGTGAAAAATTTTGACTCAATAGTGCTTGTGACTAAGACCAGTCAGTGTATTTCCTTTTGATCTGACCTTGCCGTTGCTGAACCCGGCCCGTGACTGTGATTCTCTGTCGTACTGTTCTGTACTGTTTTGTCCCGTTGTCAATTGACACCGGCACTACGCTAAAATACACGCCATTACCGCCACCGCAGCTGTAAATGGATGTAACTCTTTGAACGTACAATGGGTGGTTGCGTCAAGTCAGTTTATAGCCCCACCATTGCAGCTTGCCCGTTGGCTGGAAACTGTACGGGCATGTCACTGGAATGCACTAATCACCCAAAAAATATTACCGCCGCCGGCGTGTAAATGGATTTAACTCTTTGAACGTACAATAGTGGTTGTGAAGCAGAAAGTCAGTTTATTTAGCACAATCGGTCAATTGCAGCTTGCCGTTGGCTGGAAACTGTACGTTTTATGTCACTGGAATGCACTAATCACCCAAAAAATATTACCGCCACCCGGCGTGTAAATGGATCTAACTCTTTGAACGTACAATAGTGGTTGTGAAGCAGAAAGTCAGTTTATTTAGCACAATCGGTCAATTGCAGCTTGCCGTTGGCTGTAAACTGTACGTTTATGTCACTGGAATGCACTAATCACCCAAAAAATATTACCGCCACCCGGCGTGTATATGGATTTAACTCTTTGAACGTACAATAGTGGTTGTGAAGCAGAAAGTCAGTTTATTTAGCACAATCGGTCAATTGCAGCTTGCCGTTGGCTGGAAACTGTACGTTTATGTCACTGGAATGCACTAATCACCCAAAAAATATTACCGCCACCCGGCGTGTAAATGGATCTAACTCTTTGAACGTACAATAGTGGTTGTGAAGCAGAAAGTCAGTTTATTTAGCACAATCGGTCAATTGCAGCTTGCCGTTGGCTGGAAACTGTACGTTTATGTCACTGGAATGCACTAATCACCCCAAAAAATATTACCGCCACCCGGCGTGTATATGGATTTAACTCTTTGAACGTACAATAGTGGTTGTGAAGCAGAAAGTCAGTTTATTTAGCACAATCGGTCAATTGCAGCTTGCCGTTGGCTGGAAACTGTACGTTTATGTCACTGGAATGCACTAATCACCCAAAAAATATTACCGCCACCCGGCGTGTAAATGGATCTAACTCTTTGAACGTACAATAGTGGTTGTGAAGCAGAAAGTCAGTTTATTTAGCACAATCGGTCAATTGCAGCTTGCCGTTGGCTGGAAACTGTACGTTTATGTCACTGGAATGCACTAATCACCCAAAAAAAATATTACCGCCACCCGGCGTGTAAATGGATCTAACTCTTTGAACGTACAATAGTGGTTGTGAAGCAGAAAGTCAGTTTATTTAGCACAATCGGTCAATTGCAGCTTGCCGTTGGCTGGAAACTGTACGTTTGTGTCACTGGAATGCACTAATCACCCAAAAAAATATTACCGCCAGCCGGCGTGTAAATGGATTTAACTCTTTGAACGTACAATAGTGGTTGTGAAGCAGAAAGTCAGTTTATTTTGCACAATCGGCAAACTGCAGCACCAACTGTGCACGACAGCCACCAAAAAAAAAAAGGGTGTATGTCACTTTAAATTTTCGATTCTTTGATAGCTGTGTGGCCCTGAGTAACGATTCTGTGTCCCTGAGTAACGATTCTGTGTCCCTGAGTAACAATTCTGTGTCCCTGAGTAACGATTCTGTGTCCCTGAGTAACAATTCTGTGTCCCTGAGTAACGATTCTGTGGCCCTGAGTAACGATTCTGTGTCCCTGAGTAACGATTCTGTGTCCCTGAGTAACGATTCTGTGTCCCTGAGTAACAATTCTGTGTCCCTGAGTAACGATTCTGTGTCCCTGAGTAACGATTCTGTGGTAATGAACGAATAAAATAAACTTTATATATAAAATCTATATATAAAATCGAGCGCAGTGTATAGGTGTAAGTACGGTAGCTGCTTGCACAAAAAGGCACCTCGGGAACCTCCAAAGTAATTGATAAAGAATGAGAGTGCAGCGCTAACCCAAATAGCGATTACACATATGATAGACCACATATGATAGTGGATCAGTAAAATGTCAGTGTAAGTTCATCAGATGTGCTGAAAGTACATACAGTCTCCAATATGTAAAGAACCAAAAGTAGTGACTTTCAGAAATGATAATAGCCAAATAATGCACTAACCAGATAGCGCATATTAAAGCACATGGAGCATTTAAGACCTGCCCCTGGTGCTCAGCCACTGTATCACTGGAGCCAGGAGATGTCATCTATAGGGTGACCACTAGATGTCATCTATCCGGATGGAAGCTGAGTCCAGCCATAACAACGGTTCAGCTGCTCATAAACGGCCAGACCAGAGGTACATGTACACAGGATATAAATAGCTTGGCACTTCCCTAACGCGTATCGTGTGAGTACACATCATCAGAGGGGCTTTTTTTTTTTGTTTTTGTTTTTTTTTTTTTTTCGTTTTTTAGTGTGATATCGTTTATTAAAGTAGGTAAATAATCAGAAAAGAACTTACTAACAACGGTTCAGCTGCTCATAAACGGCCAGACCAGAGGTACATGTACACGTCATCAGAGGGACTGTGCCAGTGGTAAAAGGAGTGTTTTTATACATAAAAAAGCACCAAAATACACCGCAATGCGGCGGCGCCGTTATTGCCGGTTCGCGCATGCGCAGTAGCGGTCGCGTGGGCGCGCATGCGCACTAGCGTTCGCGGCGGCCATTTTTAAGAAGCCAAAACACATTATGGACATACAAGTGTTGGTTCAGCAGTAATCTCAGTGGGAACAGGATACTGCATTCCTAAATCAACACGGGGCAAGTGGATTAGCTGAAATTACACATGGAACATACTTAATGCCCCTCTGATGATGTGTACTCACACGATACGCGTTAGGGAAGTGCCAAGCTATTTATATCCTGTGTACATGTACCTCTGGTCTGGCCGTTTATGAGCAGCTGAACCGTTGTTATGGCTGGACTCAGCTTCCATCCGGATAGATGACATCTAGTGGTCACCCTATAGATGACATCTCCTGGCTCCAGTGATACAGTGGCTGAGCACCAGGGGCAGGTCTTAAATGCTCCATGCGCTTTAATGTGCGCTATCTGGTTAGTGCATTATTTGGCTATTATCATTTCTGAAAGTCACTACTTTTGGTTCTTTACATATTGGAGACTGTATGCACTTTCAGCACATCTGATGAACTTACACTGACATTTTACTGATCCACTATCATATGTGGTCTATCATATGTTTAATCGCTATTTGGGTTAGCGCTGCACTCTCATTCTTTATCAACGATTCTGTGGCCCTAAAGTCTCTGTGGCCCTAACTCTGTCCCTTAATACAGACAGGTCTGTCTCTCTTGAATGACCGGAGGCTAATGGAGAATTCTAAGATGGCCGCGATTTATAGCTCCACCATTACACAGTGCTGGCTGGCTGCTGATTGGCTAATGCGATCACATGTCATGATTCATGACTCATGAATGCATTATGGGTCAGCGCGCCTTGTCTGCGCGCCTTCCCAGAGATCCCCGCCCCATCTTCTCTGTCCATTTTCTCCTGTCGCCACACATGTCGCCGCCATTTTTGGGAAAATTCGATTCGTGCATCCGAAGTTTGCTAATCTTCGGATTCGTCGCGAATAGAATTTTTCCAAATCTTCGGAACGAATTCCACTTCGTCATGTTCGATTCGCTCATCTCTAATTCTGATAAAACTTTGTGTAGTAGTACTGCCTGGACCTTGAAGAAGGGGACATACCCCGAAAGCTTGTCCTCAAAATTATTTGTTAGTGCAAATAAAAAAAGTATCACATCAGTACTCAATTGTTCCAGCCAGATACAAAATTATTATTATTATATATTATATATTCTGTATAATAATAAAAAATAAATATGGAATACCTGAGCTCAAAATTTGGTAAGACTTTCATAGAGCACTACTTATTTCAGAACTTTTAAGTAGTTCCCTACGTGTTTGCCCAGTGGGATTTTCTTTAACTCAGGCGTGCCAATTACAGCAATGTTATGAATGTATTATTTCTTAAATCACAGTATTTGTGCTCTTAACTCAAGTTAAAACTGCTAAGCTAAATTGAATCTAGAAACCAATTCCCAGTTAATTTTCAGCAGAGATCACTGTACTTAATTAAAGGTTAACAAGGTTTTCATCAGTTCCGTACGTGAACAATTACCTTTCAGCAACTTGACGGTGTAAAATAATGTGCTAGAAAACTGATATATTTCTAATGTTGTCTAGGAGAGTTACAGGGAAATACATGTGAAGTGAAGGAACACCCACGATAGTCTCATTGCTGAATTTCTATTCCATATCCTTCTCAACCTACAGGATGTCAGGTTTCAGTGGTAGTGAGCCCTTATAGAATGCAATCTCAGGGTTCTCCAGAGTGCGGAGTCTAAGCCCACTCGCTTCTTCACCAGGGCCCCTGATGGTGGGGATGGACTTGCAGCAAGCTGGAACTAGGTTGCACCCCCCCCCCCCCCAGTACCCCAGTATGCCCAGCTGACAAAGTGGAGACCACTCACGTGTGCAAAGTACAGATGGCAGGAGACAGAAGGGAATCCAGGAAAAGAGGCAAGGTCAGGGCAGGCAGCAGGCAAGCAAAAATGGCAGATGAAGCTGGGGTCAGCGCACAGGTAGTCAGACACAGAATACAAGCAATGCAAGGCAAACCAGGAGCTCAGAGACACTGGGAAGTTATTTGGGTAGCATTTGCTGCTCTGAGCATGTCTTTTATAGGGATGCAGACTGGGAGTCAGGCCAGGAAGCGACAGAAGAGAAAGGGATATAAAATCACTGCAGAGATGGTAACATCCATAGGTGAACACAGGACAGCAGCACATATAAATATAAACACAGGTCTAGCAGAATCACTGCAGCAAGGAGGTAAGAATTTCACAGGCAGGAAACTGCAGGCTAAACTGTGACAGGGGATTCAGGTTTTTATGTTATCACTTACCCTAATTTAGTCCCCATTATCCTCCGCACAACAGTGTATCACTCAGCAAAAAAAAAAAATTCAGAATATCTGCGAAGTACACACACTTTTCATGTTTTGTCTCTTTACAAATGTTGCAAGTACAGAAAAATACCATTAGACCTGCCAGAAATACAGTGAGTATCTAACTTCATGTAGTGAGCTGACAGTGCTGCCTGTGCCGCATTGAAATCTCAAGCAGCAATGTCAGCCCTGCCTGAGTTCTCTCCTGCTGGACTTCAGAATGCCTTCCCTTTATCTTTTGAAGAAGAGAAGAGACGGTGTGTTCTGTAGTCCAGCGGGAAATAACAACAGTGCTTAGGACAGGAACTCGGGGAGAAACCTATCCTTTTACAGATAGTTCCATTAAAGGGGTGTATTATATAGTAGTTCCATTGCAGTTGTAATGGCATATTTGAGAACACTGGCCCTAATGCTGTATACAATATCTACAGTACTGTATACCTCCTTCTGTTGTCTATTCTAGCAGTTATTATGAGGAATAAAGAAAGCCAAAATAATATCTCTAGGACTGACATCCCAATTTATTATTACATGATTATTTCGTTTTTATCATTTAAGGGATACCAAATGTTCTAATTAACACAAGATTTTTTGCAATTACCTAACAACTTATATCTGAATGTTGGCAGTTAAAATCAACCAAGTTTTCTAGATGTGTTACTAAATAAACCCAGCATGTGAAAGATTGTTATACTTTGAGGTTGTTCACAGTAATTTAGGAAAATTAGATAATTAGGAGGCTCACAACTTGAATAAAGTACACATGACTAAAAAAAATATAAGATTTATGGTTTTATTAGTATTAAACATCCAGGGAAATGAATGGAACGAGGAACTGGAGGTATCGCTCTGCAGAAAGGAAGGGGTGATGATAGTGCTTTATCCAAGAAGAGTGAATGCTCTGTTATTGTCAGCCTTTAGAATGCAGTAACCCCTTAGAGGAATCCTCTGATGAACCATGGCTGAAGGACAGCCTGCCAATAGACATTAAGGTTTTTCTGTTTAGGAAGTAAGCTACTCTTTTTGGATTGAGGGCTAATGGTTCTGGTTTCTTAGGATTGAGAGCTGATAGGATTTATTTGCGGAGGAGAAGAGAGCTAATAATACTGCTCTGTTGGGAAGGGAGATGATGGAACTATTCTGCTTAATGGGTGATCCATTGGTACTGGTTTGTAAAGATACGTTTTGAACTTGCCACAACCATAGATTGTATTGAATTCTGCCAGTTCAAAAACATGCCAGGGCAATTTTTTTTTCAACCATTATGCACTGTATGGCACATGACAAATTTTTTGCAGGACCAATAAGATAAGTCAGCTCCCTTATTAAAAGCTGCTGCTGGAAGAGAATAGGGTACAAAACTGCATATTGAGATATTAGGGTGAGTTAAAAAACTGCGCTTTACTTTTGTGAATTGGTGAATTGCAGTGTTGGGGACTTCTTTTCCTCTACGCCCTTCCCCCCCCCCCCCCCCCATGTCCACACAATTCTTTACTTACCCAAAACCCTATTAGGGCCATTACTGTGCAAAAAATGTAGCTCCTGACTTTTAATAAACAGGTACTCACCTATCCAATGATCCAGTGCTGTCCTCACCTGGGACTGTTCATTACTGGTCTTCAGGTCCTCAGCACTGGCATGTTGTGGGCAGCCAGCTGTGACTCCTTGTAGCTTCATAGCTGGCTTCCCACACGCTGTGCTTTCTGAATGATCTCTCAGCCTTCTGAGACCTGTGATGTGCCCCAGAAGGCTGTGGGCAGGGAGGGGGGGGAGAACTTCTGGTGGGTCATCCAATGCAATCCGACTGGAAATGGGTGCAGGTACCTGTCAAAACCAAGTACTTACTAAGTGGTCACTTTTAACTTCTCTCCTGTCCATAGCAAACAGCTTTCCTTTACAAAAGAAAAAGTGGGCTTTTGTTTCAGTGGTGATAGAGTATTTTGAGATTTTAACTTCCAGGTTCGGTACACAGATAGTCAGATACAGGAGTAGCAACAAACAGGAGCTCAGAGAACTAAGAAGATTCTCAGGCAAAGTGGGCTAGACTGTCTTATATAGACAAGCAAACTAGGAGGCGGGCCAGAAAGTGATGGAAGGGAAGGAAATAAAACCCAGAGAATAGCAGGCAACGCCCATAGGTGAGCACAGACCAACCACACATGTGAAGGGAATCATGAAAAGCACTGCAGCAAGGAGGTAAGAATACATGAACAAGAAACTGCAGGCTAACTTGTGACAGATGCCCTATTACATGAGCTAGTGATCTTGTTAAATGACAAAGTTGAAAAAGGAATATTGGGCAACCAGCGGGTGGCTGAAGGTCACACCAAGGGAATAACGTGGTGCCACGTCCCTATTAGAGGATCAAAATGTATCTAAATTAATTATGGACTTTTTAGGCACATAGACTCAGTACAAAAATTGTAAAAACAGTTGTTGCTTTATTAACATACCATATCTAAAATATATTACGTAATTAAAAATAGTAATATGCATTGTAAATATAGTCACAGCATTATCCCCCCATAAAGTATAGAAACACAATTTCCTATTGGAGATATTGAGAAGATGGTAGACACAATCCATTTCCTTCAAAGTGAGGGGGAGTATATTGACTGTTGGATGGAGCCCAAAATGTTTTGCTATGAGAGTTGCTTCCTCAGGGGCTTGCAGCGCATCTAGAAAATGGACAAACTTGCAGGTAATCATTACAAATATTTGCAATGGACATCAATACAAGTAGAATGCCACCTCAAAGGCACTTACATAAAATTGTAGACCATGTGTATTATATTATAAAGGACTCTCAAAGCGGCAAATAGGGTCCCCACAGCCAATCAGGATGGCAACCCACCCATCTTATTAAATTAAAATGAACCATTAATAAAATGCACAGCATTAGAGGTTGTCTTTATGGCCATCCTTCTCTTTAAGTGTTGCATAATGGGGGCAAGATCCACCTCTATGTTTTGTAGAGAGAAAAGAAAACAATAAAAAATGTAAACTGGTTCCTCCCTAAAATGTAGTAGAAACATTAGTAAAATGGTGATTTTTAAATATCAGTGTTTTGCAACACTGATATTATCCATGCTGTCATTTGTGTCAATATTAGTTCCAGATAAAATAATTGCTTCTTACGTCATGCCTATTCATTCTATCATTCAAACTCTACAATGGACAAAGCTTTGTAAAGCAAACACTCCTCTTTCTGTACAACATCATGTACTGTATAGCTGCACTGAAATTCTAAATAAGGTAGGCGATCTTATATGGGAGATCAGACCAGGACTTTAGCAGGGACA